TGGAACCATCCCTCGACGTAATTTTGAGATTGAAGGGGAAGCTTTCATGGTTGCTCCACATGATGATGCCGAACCCAAAAATATTAAAGAGGCTCTATCATTACTAGCTAATAATGAGTAGATAGCTGCAATGAATGACGAGATGGAGTCAATGAAGGCTAATCAAGTCTGGGACTTGGTTGACCTCCTCCTGGGCGCTAGGCCATTGGGAACAAATGAGTTTTCAAAATTAAGTGCAAGGCGGATGGATCCATAGAAAGATATAAGGTTCACCTAGTGGCAAACGGTTACACCCAAAGAGAGGTTGTGGACTACAAGGAAATTTTTTTCTCCAGTTGTAAGGTTTGCCTCAATTCGCATGATTCTAGCTATTGTCGCACATTTGGATTTAGAACTATATCAAATAGACTTTAAAACTACATTTCTTAATGGAGAATTGGATGAGGAGATCTACATGGATCAACCTGAGAGCTTCGTGGTGGTGGGTCAAGAGAACAAAGTGTGTAAACTTCGACGATCCATTTATGGCCTGAAATAGTCATCTGAATAATGGTATCTATGGTTTCATCGAGTTATCACTTCTAATGAGTTTACAATGATCGATGAAGACCATTGTGTGTATGTTAATGGTCTAAAGATAGCTTCTTGATTCTATCTTTGTGTGTTGACGATATTTTATTAGTTGGAAATAATAAGGAGATAATTATCACTACTCAAAAGTGGTTGTCCTCAACATTTGAGATGAAGGACCTGGGTGAAGCAAGTTATATGCTTGAAGTTAAGATCTTAAGGGATCGTTCTAAGAAATTTATTTGTTTTTCTCAAAAGACTTACATTAAGAAAGTTCTTGAACGATTTCACATACAAAACTGCAAACTCATAGACACTCTTGTAACAAAAGACCATAGCCTAAGCCTAAAGATGTGCCCTAAATCTCCTAAGGAAAAGGAAAAGATAGCTCGTGTTTCCTATGCCAATGCAGTAGGTAACTTAATGTACGTTATGATGTGTACCTGTCCCGATATTTACTTTGTGGTAGGCCTTGTTAGTCGTTTTTAGTCAAACCCTGGAATAGCTCATTGGAAGGCAGTCAAAAGGATACTACGATATCTTAAGGGGACTTAAGATTATATGTTATGCTACCAGTCTCCAGATTTACAGATAATTGGTTATAGTGATGTTGATTGGGGTGGTGATATAGATGAACGCAAGTCCATATTAGGATATGCTTTCTTATTTAATGGTGGGGCCATTACATGGAGTAGTAAAAAATAATCATGCATATCTTTATCCACCATGGAAACAAAATACGTGGCTTGTTCTACTGTTGTACAAGAAGTTGTTTGGTTAAGAAGGTTCTTTCAACATCTAGGAGTTGTCACACATACCTTGGGCGCAGTGATGATTCATTGTGATAGCATGGCTGCATTAGCTTATGCTAAGGATCCTAAGTATCATGGAAGAACCAAACACATAGATCTAAAATATCATTACATCAGAGACATGATTACACAAAAAGAAGTAATCTTAAAACACATACCTATAACTCATATGGTTGCAGACCCCCTAACTAAGCCTATAGTTAGAGATGTGTATATGGCTCATGTTAGAACTCTAGGACTTTGTAGGCATTGATTATGTGCTAGAGACAGTATGGATCACACAGTCATTTGTATTAACATTTTTTTGAGACATTAATACATGGTTTTAATTACAATTAAATGTTATATTGCTTGATTACCTTGATATTTGAGAAAGCACACACATTAAGTATGTCAGCGAACGTGATTAGCTCACTCACATGAGCAATCACCTTTGGTGCTTAATATGGAAAGCAAAGATGAGATACTTTAGCATATAGTATCGCTCTATTTTGTACACAGAATGAAATCTAACATTTGAGGATCGATAATGGACACAACTCCATGTCCATTATGCCTATGTTTGTTGATTAGCCAGATGCGAGATCTTAATTTGGTGTCTTTGGAGGGCGACCAAATAGAGAACTCAGGTTAGACGCTTGTAGAGCGACTAGACTAAGATCTATATGGTGTTTGAGTATTACATACGCTCTCATTAGGATCAAGACACTCCACCGTGACATATATTTCATGCTACATGTGCTTGGCGACAATTAAGGAGGTGAAAGAATGGATCCATATTTCTTCACTGTGTGAGCCCTCCGAGTCATTTTTACATGACCAGGTTATTTTGTTTAACCAAACATTCTGTGTACTCTCTGACTTTTGACTATGTCATAAAGTGAAAGAATTAATGCTCAGCTATTTTGGCATGTAACTTATGGCCATGAGTGATTCAGACTTTTGAACTAAGTGACATGAGGGCGAAAGAAAGATCATTTGGAACATCATGCGATATATTCACTGTCGACAACTTTGGGCGCTAGTTTAGATAGTGAGAAAGTGTGAATGTATAGGCGAAAGCTTCGAAGGGTTATGCATGCTCTTATATTGTGAGGGATTAGAGATGCTTGAACCGGTGTATTCAAATAGATCTAGAGTACTTGAGACACCATTTTTTTTTTGGGGTTGATGTCTCTGTGTTGGCTCTGTAAAGTTTTTAGTGTAGAGCTCCCAAATTGCTAGTGTGCTAAGTTGTCGCACGACCTATTAGCCTGTATGAATTGATGTTGATGTATATAATGGATTGAGAGAGATGACAATATCGTACCTACCATGTGCGAGTGGGAGATGTTAGATATTGGTTGAGTCATGGACCCGAACCGGGGCGCCCATGGTGGGTCAACCCAAAATTAAAGAATGTCCAAAGGGACATGTCTTTTGGAGGTATCCTTTAGCACCCAAAATACATGTCAGTTAAATATTAACAGACATGTCCCTATATGAGGTGTCTTTTAATAACACCTATTGGTTGCCTATATAAATCCAAGGCAATCCAGTAGATGATAAATCTTTTGAGAAATATTCAAACGTTAAAGTCTCCTACTATATTTCTCTCTCTCCCTACATAATGTTAGAAGGCTTTTGTGTTGTAGAAACTCGGTGTTGATTCTTATTGTGTAAAAACACCATACTGCTTGAGCATTCGAAGAAAAGACGATTTTTAGATTCTAAAGTACGTGGAACATCGTCAAATGATTTTTTGATTAAAACGAATAAGGTATGTCTTTAATCTTACGCTTCCGCAATATGTTATACGATTCCCAACAACATCTATTAGCATTCATAGTATATAAGTTATATAACAAAAAATATATTAAAAAATAAAAATTACACTCTTTTTAAGAGTTAATAGTTTTTTTTAATAAAAAAAATTTATTGTCATGTCTTGACCGTATCTTAATCGTGTCCTGGTCGTGTCTGGCTTAGTCTACTATTTAGCACACCTCTAGCCTTATCGGACACGTATCCGTCCATATCCAGCAGTGCCACGACACCCCTCCAAAAAATATCCGTGCTTCCTATCTTGTTAGTACTTGAATCTAACCACAATTCCTTTTCACTCTCCATAGCACATGGATGGGAACCCTCAGGTTTAACGAGCGTAATCCTAAGTAGTTTACTCTCAATTCCATTGGAATTTTTCAAATGAAGTTGAAAAAAAAATAGGAGTGGAGGTCATATAAACATTTCTGCAACACAAAAACTCTAAATTTCTAATGCTGCTGATCTTCATCCTCTATTCTGCAGAAAACACATGACCTCCCCTAGGCATATAAGCCCACAGCTTGTCCTTGTTTATCAATTTCCCTAGCAATTTCAGCCATAAAATAAAACTTATTCTTGGAATTGACTTTCCCTATCAAATAATTTGTACCATGGAACCTTCGGAGATGAAATATAAAGGCTGTTGCAAGCTAATTTGGTAGAGTATTTGCCATTCGAAGCAAGTAACCACTGTACACCTGATCAGGCTGCAAAGAATTTGGATGATAATCTGGCAATGAGGTCTAGATATCCGAGGTCATTTGTAAGATGGGTGGGGCAATTCCAGTGATTGTCACTGACTAGCATTTAGAGGGGTTCTAGATATTTCACCTTCCCTGTTTTGCCATCTGAACACCAGTGGACCATGTGAATGCCAATTGTCATGCCACAAGATAGTGGACTCCCCACCTCCATTGATGTATTTGATGAGAATGGACTAAATTCTCATAACCTCTCCATTTTCTCGTAAATGACCTGTTGGTTTTTTTTTTGGAGTCTAGTTTGTATATGTGATCCGGATGATAATTCGATCCGAAATAATATTGTGTGATTTTTTAATGGAAAATTTTCTGAGGCTTAGTCCATGGAGCGAAGGCTTGGGCCGATAGGCCCAAGCCGTAGCGCTCATGGACAAGCCTCGTGGGGGTTCAGGGGCAACGTACCCGAGGAAATATTTTGGGCCCGTTATACAACTCAGTCCGTAGGACATATAAACCCTATTGTTTTGGTGATTAGGGTTAATCGTGGATTGTACAGCCGCTCTCTGTATTCAACTCTCTCAATAGTGAAATCCCTACAGCTTCGTGGACGTAGGCAAATTGCCGAACCACGTAAAATCTGTGTCTTGTTCTTTCTTGTTTCTTATTACTTTATATTCTTAATTTGTTTTTCGATTATGTGTGTTTGTTAGTAGATTTAAATCGTGTTAAATCCCAACATGACCGTCACCCAACTAGCCCGTGGATTTTCTTTAGCAGTGAACACATACTAAAGCTACCCAACTATTAGAGTTCCGTTCCAATCCTAAAGACATTTAAGTCTTAAGCCCCCCTCCTCCTTATGCTTGGTGATATCTGAGCAAGACTTGTTTGCGCCACTTATTATAAGTTCAGTACATGGCCACAAAAAGACCTTATCAGCTGTTCAATTCTCCTCAGCATGCCCTTAGGCAGAATACAACTAGTGAAACCAGTGCTCAATGGAATGCCACACTGCAAAATCTGGTGCTTATATTCTGGCTTCACACTTGCCATAAAGATTTGGGTTTGAGTGTGGTTGCTGGTTGGCTTTCATACCTAAGAGGATTTGGAACTGGCAGTTACTTTCATGCATGACAGGATCTGGAACTTATCTGTCATATTTTCCAGCACAAACATTGATGATGGATCAGCATGGGAGAAGAGAAAACGATCATTAGCTTAACCAAGTGACATGAGTTTTCAATTTGTGATTTAACTGTCTGGATGAGAACCTCCAGAGCATTCTAAAGATGATGGTGATATAGGGGCTTCTGGCTTTATACCTCTGGCACTAGAAAAAAAACCAACCAACCCTCCATTCAAGCATATAGAAAGCTCTGTAGTACACAAGCAGTTCTTGATCCTCTCAATCACTACTTCAGAGGAATTGATCTGTTAAATCCCAAATCATATCAGATGCCTCATTAGGTCACCTTTCATTGCACATTTTGGTGTTCTCTATCCATATTGAAAATCAAACTTCCAAAATGGTGATACTACTATCTCATGAAGGATGCCTTTAATTCAGTTAGCAATTACTTCGGAGATGAGCATGTTTTATAGAATTCTTGCACTGCTGAATTCCTGCATTAGAAGCAATTATCTTGTTCCATATACTACATTTTTTTTTTATGCTGTCATTTTTTGGATGTCACTACACAGAAACTGAAGAAGGAATTGCACAGGCGATTGTCCGGTGTAATATAGATTTTGAGAGGGACCCCTGGCCAAAGGTTTCTGATGATGCGAAGGATCTTGTGAAGGGTATGCTCGAACCAAATCCTTACAGCCGGATGACAGTTGAAGAAGTGCTAGGTGTGTACTCCATATCGCTGCATAACAAATATTATCAGATATATACTGTGGAATATATTGTGTATATGAACTAACTGTTGTTTTCTATTTATACGAAGAGTCTCGTTGGATACAAAGTGCCGATAAGGTGCCAAATGTTCCTTTGGGAGAAAATGTTAGGACGAGGATTAAACAGTTCTCTTTGATGAATAAGTTCAAGAAGAAGGTTTTAAGAGTAAGTTGTCCACACTCGCTTAATTCTTGCATGGGAAAAATTAAACTTCTTGGCTCCCTTGAGACATTGTTGCCTTAACTATCACGTTTTTCATATTGCACCTCCAACAATGGTTTTTGGTTTCACATTGCCCCCTCCATTATCACATTTCTCGCANTAGTGAAATCCCTGCAGCTTCGTGGACGTAGGCAAATTGTCGAACCACGTAAAATCTATGTCTTGTTCTTTCTTGTTTTTTATTGCTTTATATTCTTGATTTATTCTTCGATTGTGTGTGTTTGTTAATAGATTTAAATCGTGTTAAATCCCAACATGACCGTCACCCAACTAGCCCGTGGATTTTCTTTAGCAGTGAACACATACTAAAGCTACCCAACTATTAGAGTTCCGTTCCAATCCTAAAGACATTTAAGTCTTAAGCCCCCCTCCTCCTTATGCTTGGTGATATCTGAGCAAGACTTGTTTGCGCCACTTATTATAAGTTCAGTACATGGCCACAAAAAGACCTTATCAGCTGTTCAATTCTCCTCAGCATGCCCTTAGGCAGAATACAACTAGTGAAACCAGTGCTCAATGGAATGCCACACTGCAAAATCTGGTGCTTATATTCTGGCTTCACACTTGCCATAAAGATTTGGGTTTGAGTGTGGTTGCTGGTTGGCTTTCATACCTAAGAGGATTTGGAACTGGCAGTTACTTTCATGCATGACAGGATCTGGAACTTATCTGTCATATTTTCCAGCACAAACATTGATGATGGATCAGCATGGGAGAAGAGAAAACGATCATTAGCTTAACCAAGTGACATGAGTTTTCAATTTGTGATTTAACTGTCTGGATGAGAACCTCCAGAGCATTCTAAAGATGATGGTGATATAGGGGCTTCTGGCTTTATACCTCTGGCACTAGAAAAAAAACCAACCAACCCTCCATTCAAGCATATAGAAAGCTCTGTAGTACACAAGCAGTTCTTGATCCTCTCAATCACTACTTCAGAGGAATTGATCTGTTAAATCCCAAATCATATCAGATGCCTCATTAGGTCACCTTTCATTGCACATTTTGGTGTTCTCTATCCATATTGAAAATCAAACTTCCAAAATGGTGATACTACTATCTCATGAAGGATGCCTTTAATTCAGTTAGCAATTACTTCGGAGATGAGCATGTTTTATAGAATTCTTGCACTGCTGAATTCCTGCATTAGAAGCAATTATCTTGTTCCATATACTACATTTTTTTTTTATGCTGTCATTTTTTGGATGTCACTACACAGAAACTGAAGAAGGAATTGCACAGGCGATTGTCCGGTGTAATATAGATTTTGAGAGGGACCCCTGGCCAAAGGTTTCTGATGATGCGAAGGATCTTGTGAAGGGTATGCTCGAACCAAATCCTTACAGCCGGATGACAGTTGAAGAAGTGCTAGGTGTGTACTCCATATCGCTGCATAACAAATATTATCAGATATATACTGTGGAATATATTGTGTATATGAACTAACTGTTGTTTTCTATTTATACGAAGAGTCTCGTTGGATACAAAGTGCCGATAAGGTGCCAAATGTTCCTTTGGGAGAAAATGTTAGGACGAGGATTAAACAGTTCTCTTTGATGAATAAGTTCAAGAAGAAGGTTTTAAGAGTAAGTTGTCCACACTCGCTTAATTCTTGCATGGGAAAAATTAAACTTCTTGGCTCCCTTGAGACATTGTTGCCTTAACTATCACGTTTTTCATATTGCACCTCCAACAATGGTTTTTGGTTTCACATTGCCCCCTCCATTATCACATTTCTCGCATTGTAGATCACATTTATGGGTCTGACATTGTCCCAATTCCGTCAAAAACATAATATACATTTGGTTTTGAGGCAATTTAAAATCAATTCAAGCAGTTGGGGTGGCAATTTGAGAANCATTGTAGATCACATTTATGGGTCTGACATTGTCCCAATTCCGTCAAAAACATAATAGACATTTGGTTTTGAGGCAATTTAAAATCAATTCAAGCAGTTGGGGTGGCAATTTGAGAAACTCAATAGCTGAAGGGCTGGAGTAAGATCGAGCCACATTTGAGGGGGTCGAAATCTAATTTGTTCTTCGCGTTTATTCTTGAATCATGTTACAGCTTTCTCTATGCAATGCATAAGACTCTTCTTCTTTCTTATTTTTTGATTTTTAGGTGGTGGCAGACAACTTGCCCCATGAGCAAGTGGATGGAATCAAAGAGTTGTTCAATATGATGGACACAGACAAAAATGGAAACCTTACTTTCGAAGAGCTCAGAGATGGTCTAAGCAAGATGGGCCAACCTGTTACTGATCCTGATGTGCAAATGTTAATGGATGCTGTGAGTTTAGCTTATTTCATTAAGTGCTCACCTTTTTCATTGTTTTTTTCACTGCTTCAAAAATAATCACCAAAAACACTTGCTTAATCATTTCTTAATTCTCATTTGAGTGCACATATGGTTGCAACAGCAAATGCTTTCATAACCTCTTGCCTATGGAAAGAAGACTGAAGTGTAGTTTGTGAATATGGAAAACTTATACTTTAACCCCCTCAACTATGTCCTCAGTCTAATATTGTACCCTAAGCTAATACGTTTCTTACATTGCGCCTCCAAATATACTTAATACTTTCACTTTTCCCCCTCAGCAATCATGTTTTTCTATTGACATTGAAACTTGTATTTTAATGCACAGTTGGGCATTCTCCTTGAAAAACCAGATGGACATTTGGTTTTGGATAATGTAACACCAATTCAAGTAGGTGAGGGCTCCATAGCTGAGGGGGAAATGTGAGATTGAAGCCATAGTTGAGGGGGTTACAGAGTATTTTTTTCTACAACTACTGAAAATGAATGCTCAACAAACTTCTGGAACTAAAAGCCTAATAGCAATCTTCTTTATCTTGAAGATAGTAGGTAAACCACACACACAACTTTTTCTAGAATGCCCAAATCTGAGGTATATGCAGCCACTTGGAAAATGGAAGTTTGAAACATTAATTTATTTTTGTGGATCTTGATTATTATTATTATTATTTATTTTGATGCTACTCTTTCGGATTTTTAAAGCTTGTCTTGTGGAGGAGACCGCATCGCATTGTAATTTCAAGAAGAAAATTGAGGAAATATCTAATAAAAACTTAATATATTCAACCATTACATGTCATATTGTGATAGCATTGTATCTATTTTCATTGAATCTAAGCAAGTCTCAACTTTTTTCCAAAAGGCTGATATTGATGGAAATGGAATGCTTAACTGTGAGGAGTTTGTGACAATGGCTGTCCACATAAAAAGAATTAGCAGTGATGAGCATCTCCAGCAGGCTTTTCGCTACTTCGACAAGAACAAAAGCGGATTCATTGAATTTGAAGAGCTGAGAGAAGGCTTGTTAGATGAACACCTTGGTCCCAACAATGATCAGGTGGTCCAAGACATCATATTTGATGCAGACTTGGATAAGGTAAATCCTCAACTGCATTACTTACATAAGCAACATGGAAACCACCACTTTCAGTAGAGGACCCAAAGTTTTCTACAATAACCTTCTTACCCTCTAAATTTTGTGTTTCCTGTTGAAAGTTACTAGGGTGGCCTCCTCTAGTGTTGACTGTATTGTGTATTTTCAGTATGACCCCTAACAATGCTATCAATTATCAGTTTCAAATACTTTGTTGGTCCCCTCCACTTCAGAAATTCTAGCTCTGCCTCTGACCACCTTGAATGTAGTATGATGATTTTTGATTTGTTGAATCTATATCACAGGATGGTCGAATCAGTTATCAAGAATTCGAGGCCATGATGACCACAGGGATGGATTGGAAGTTGGCCTCTCGACAATACTCTCGAGCAATGCTAAATGCAATAAGCATGAAATTGTTCAAAAACAAATCTCTAGGGTTGAAAACTGATTGAACATTCTTTGAAGGTAACACTATCCCATTGTGGGTAAAAAGGCAACATTTTATACCAATCATCCCCATGAAATGACTCAAAAGAAAGGGTGAGAGAACAAAAAATCAAATGCCATAAGCTTGGTTGTGATGAGAATTATTTTTGGAGATCACTTTTAAGCTAATAAGATGAAATTTGTAAGAGTTGAAAGATGGAAATATAGGTTCACATACTGAATGAAGCTCTGTGTTTCATTTATGTATATTCTTTGTGAGAACATTCCATCAACATTATATATGTTGGGGTTTGAATTGCTTCTGAATGTTTACCATTTTAGTTTCTTTGTCATATATACCCCTTGACCCTAGTCACATGAAATGCACATGAGGGTGTGTTCCGTTACTGAAAATAAAATGTTACAGTGGAAAGTGTAGACAAATCTTTGTTTACGAAGTTAAACTTAAACTGGCGACACAACTTAAGAGCAAATTGGAAAACTTACCTTACTAATTGGCTCTCAATTGGTTTTCGTATTTGGAATACTCCAATCTATAAATTTCCTATATGATGCAAGAGATACTCCTATTCTCATGAAGGTCTTTAATAAAATGTTAATCTTGATTAATTTGGAAAGACAAGTGTCAGATTACAAAAAAAAATGGAGATTCAATTGGAATCAATTTGGTTGGGTTGAAACTTATTTCAAAACTATATTATATTGCTTCAATCATGGTGATGAGATACAATAGAAATCATCGGACATCACAGTTTTCAAAAAGTGGAATAAAAGCTACCCACACAAATTACACCGGCATCCTCTGAATTTTACAAAAAATAGGGACTCGTTGATGTTTGAAAAATAACTTTTAAGACCGCTTTAGTCATTCATACCAATAAGAGAACAAAAACAGTCATGTTAGGTTAGTAGAACCACTATCACTTTTTGCTTTGGCTCTAATTTCAGTCCTTGTAGCTTTTCAAGAACCAAATTCAATCCAAGCATGGTTAGGTCAATTCAAGTCACCGAAACCAAAAAATTAAGGGAGAGATTCATAGTAAATGTCCGTTGGTTTCAACAAATGTTGAGGATAGTATTGATTCTCTCTCAATTTCAGTCATAAGATATGAGTTTATCAGTTTTTGATGAGATCAAAATTACTCGTAGAAGAAGCGTTTGAAGGTAGAGATCGGACAAGTCGTTTCAGAGAAGTTTGGAGAGACTTGCTAGTCTGGGTGTTCGACAATCTTGATTTTTGTGTGTAGGCAAGTAGAGGGAGACAAAATGTGCTCGAGGCCTGTTACAACTATAGCTTCAGATTGTGTGTGTGTGTGTGTGTGTGTGTGTGTGAGAGAGAGAGAGAGAGAGANCATAAGCTTGGTTGTGATGAGAATTATTTTTGGAGATCACTTTTAAGCTAATAAGATGAAATTTGTAAGAGTTGAAAGATGGAAATATAGGTTCACATACTGAATGAAGCTCTGTGTTTCATTTATGTATATTCTTTGTGAGAACATTCCATCAACATTATATATGTTGGGGTTTGAATTGCTTCTGAATGTTTACCATTTTAGTTTCTTTGTCATATATACCCCTTGACCCTAGTCACATGAAATGCACATGAGGGTGTGTTCCGTTACTGAAAATAAAATGTTACAGTGGAAAGTGTAGACAAATCTTTGTTTACGAAGTTAAACTTAAACTGGCGACACAACTTAAGAGCAAATTGGAAAACTTACCTTACTAATTGGCTCTCAATTGGTTTTCGTATTTGGAATACTCCAATCTATAAATTTCCTATATGATGCAAGAGATACTCCTATTCTCATGAAGGTCTTTAATAAAATGTTAATCTTGATTAATTTGGAAAGACAAGTGTCAGATTACAAAAAAAAATGGAGATTCAATTGGAATCAATTTGGTTGGGTTGAAACTTATTTCAAAACTATATTATATTGCTTCAATCATGGTGATGAGATACAATAGAAATCATCGGACATCACAGTTTTCAAAAAGTGGAATAAAAGCTACCCACACAAATTACACCGGCATCCTCTGAATTTTACAAAAAATAGGGACTCGTTGATGTTTGAAAAATAACTTTTAAGACCGCTTTAGTCATTCATACCAATAAGAGAACAAAAACAGTCATGTTAGGTTAGTAGAACCACTATCACTTTTTGCTTTGGCTCTAATTTCAGTCCTTGTAGCTTTTCAAGAACCAAATTCAATCCAAGCATGGTTAGGTCAATTCAAGTCACCGAAACCAAAAAATTAAGGGAGAGATTCATAGTAAATGTCCGTTGGTTTCAACAAATGTTGAGGATAGTATTGATTCTCTCTCAATTTCAGTCATAAGATATGAGTTTATCAGTTTTTGATGAGATCAAAATTACTCGTAGAAGAAGCGTTTGAAGGTAGAGATCGGACAAGTCGTTTCAGAGAAGTTTGGAGAGACTTGCTAGTCTGGGTGTTCGACAATCTTGATTTTTGTGTGTAGGCAAGTAGAGGGAGACAAAATGTGCTCGAGGCCTGTTACAACTATAGCTTCAGATTGTGTGTGTGTGTGTGTGTGTGTGTGTGTGAGAGAGAGAGAGAGAGAGAAGGGGGGTGGGGAATTTGTCAAACAGGGGAGCTTTGGACGTCCATGAGTTTGTCAGACAAGGGGTTGATCACAGGGTGGAGTTGGGGTAGATAAATGGTCGGTGGTGTCAGCGTGCGGGTGATCGATGATAGAGGCTAATGTTAGCTCTCTCACCTGGATTGACATAAACAAAACATACGATTCTTGATATTTATATTTCCATTCCGTCCAATCAAACCCCACCCATTCCTTTCAAACCTAGTCACACACAGATATACATATCTACAAATATGGGAGAATTTTTTGAGTGGAAGATTTCATAAAAGCTAGACACCATTCAACAGATGAGAGCGCACGACATAAAAGCAGAACAAGGAAAGATCTATTATACCAGAAAGCTGTCTCTCTAAATAGAAACCATTCAACAGAAGAAAAACACAAACGAGTACATTTGCATTTCCCCCTAGTCGTCTCTGTAAACTAGTAAAATCAATCATGATGCAAGTCCAAGAAGCTTTGTACACAAATTGACTGATTGATATATAGTAGCTATATACAGTAAGCAAGAGTGCGATACACCATTACAGACACAGATACACACACACACACACACACCACCACAACAGACGTGGTTGCCGTTTCTTCCTTCTTTGATTCTGGATTTCTTACCTTTATCCTGCATTTCATGGCATCAATGAAAAAGGATCACACCATTTACGCAAAGAAGTGCCCCTTATATGACCTGTTTTCGTGATGCAAGAGGTACTCAGTTAGCCCCTTCAATGTCCCTTCTTGCTGCAAGAGGTACGCAGTGCAAGTGACTCCTACCGAAAAGGTATCTAGTATTTCATCGACGCTGGTTGCAGATCTGACATATGTTTGTAGACTTGGGATTAAAATATGTGCAGTGATCGCAAGCCCAACTGCTTGAATCATCCACATTTTTGCTAGGCCCTCCAGATCGAGATGCTCCTTTTCCTCTTGAAACTTTCCCCTTGCTGCTCCCTGCTGCGCTTTTTGAGTTTGTTGTTTTGCTGGAAGTTCCTTGGGTATCCACATCAGAAAGCCCATTCTCTAATGCCTTAACCAAGTTCTCAAAGTAGTTCCGAGTCACGCTGTTGCAATGACATAACATATTCTCATCAGCAAAATTTTCGGCATCCACTAGCGAAATTTGCAAGTCATACAATCTATTATTAGGGAAAAAATGGGTATTCAAAGACCGTGGATTGAATTATCATTACTCAAGCATGCAAGTATCAATTTCAAGGGAACTTGATATAGATCTATGAAGATGCTTATCCCACAACCTTTTTACAAGAGACCCCCTTTCTGCTGCAAACACATTGGTGGTAAAGCATACAATACCATGACAACCTTTAAAGAATGACCCAGTTTCAATCAGAGAACAGTAGGAGGGGGAACAATAAGAGAAGGAAACGTTTTGTTTTCCGTAACTTCCTATTTTTCTGCCAAAGAGGGATATACATGCAAGGTAAACCTCAACTCAATAGGTCTCCTCCAAGAACCTAAGAATATGATGATAACAGTAAAACCTCCTACACTTTTCAACAAATTTTCTAGTTGAAAATGGAGATGTGGAATCAGGCCATGACATGCCCTACAACGTCACAGACAATAAAATCTTTTGACAGCCTTGGGTCTTCCGCAATGCTGTGATTTTCTTTCTCTATCCAGCAACGCTGTGATTTTTCTTCCTCTATCAAGCATTTCGTGCGCATCGCCCAGTACCATTTCATGATGCTGAGACAGATGCAACTCAGTCCTACAAGACAATGACCGATATTGCAACCTTCAACAATGGGTCTCCCACTCTTTCCGGCATGCTATCCCCAGTAAAATAGAAATCAGACTCCAAAACGTGCTAGAGCTAGACCTAAAGAATGTGGAGTGCAATATATGCAATAAAACACTACCTGACCTGACTACAATTTCAACTTTGGCTACTGGCAACTCCTCCTGATTTAACACGATACAATCGAGGAAATGAAATTTGAAAGTAAAATGTATACTCTTAGTCGGATAGCTAGAAAATTGACAAAAGGTGCCAGAATAAAATACAGATGCAATGACAATACAAAATAAATAAATAGAAGGGGATTGTGCACTATGGACGCACGCCTTCCTCATTTTATTTGCCTACTTTTGCCATTGAATTTGATCAAACCTCTTTGTAATATTGCCAAATGGAAGCTATAAAAGTCAATTCAACCAATCATTGTCCCAACTATTTCAAGCGGGCTACATAAATCTTACTCCTCCACTGTGTTCTTTCAAGAGCCACATTTTCTGGGAAATTGCTAGCTATCATATCTTTTTTAAATATCTCATTTACAGTTAATTTTGGTCTACCTTTACCCCTTCCATTACCATTTATTGGCATCACATCATTGTTTCTCACTGGTGTGGTTATCGACCTTTTATAGATTTATTCAAATCACTCAAGTCCATTGCCTCTTAAATATGTTGGTACTACTACTCCTGTTTCACAAATTACTCATTTCTAATTATATCATTTTCCTTTATAACGCATATCCATCTTAGCATACTCATTCTATCATAATTTTTGAGCATGATAATTCTCAACTGCACAAATTTTGTGACATAAAGAATTGTAGATCTAATGAATATCTTATAAAACTTACACTTCAACCTAAGAGGGTTGACCACATAATACGCCAGATATATTGCTCCAGTTATGTTTGCTACCTACGCATTTTTGGACTTGCTAAAATTACATTCCATATTATCAATGTTATCTGTAATTAAGTTGTATCATTTTGATCCTAAGGCTTCTTTTCATATTCTGTGGGGTTCCACAATATTGTTCTGAGTTATAGAAGAGTTCGCTAATTGGGCCATCAAAGCATAACCTTCCAAATTTGATCCAATGATAGGAGAGATCTCTCGATTTTTTACTCTCCCACCCCAATGTGTCTCAATCAAAGACTCCTCTCACCTGCCTTTTCTCTTGGTCACACCACCCCCTTCCTCTCCCAGTCACATCCCCCTCTCTCCTTCCCATCTACCAACGACAACAACACCACCAACAACACCTAGCGTCACTGGTGGTCCTCTTTTTTCTCCTCTTCCTCCTTGCCACCATCATCACCACAGCCAACGCCACCGGCCCACCGTCACATCCACTATACTCAGGTAACTCTCTCTTTCTCCCTCTTTGTTTTTCCCCCTCTCTCTTTGATTCTTCTCTCTCACACCACCGTCATCCACCAATGCAATCCAACACCACCGCCTATCACCACTCCACAGCTGCCCAAGCACTCCAGCAACCTGACATCTTCACCCCCAAATCCAAACCCTAATTTGCTTTACTATGACAAAAATCCCTCCCAAGCCCTAGATGTCCAAACTGCCATTATTGTCTCAAATCACTAGATTTAAATTGTCTTTGTTATTGCAAGCCCAAGTTGCAATTGAAGCCATAAACCTCCTTCCTCCACTCCACCACCAACGCCTCAATGCACACAATTTTAAAAAGTGTCCAGTACCCATCCACCATCCACCGACCACCACCATCCACCAACGCAACACACCACCCACTAACCCCAAAATACCCTAAACCCCTAACAGAATTCCCTAACCCCCTCACAGAACCCCGTTACACCGTCACAACCCGCTAACCACGAGTTCAACGAATTTGCTCAAATAACTACTCAAACAGTGATGCGGACACAATGCTTCCTCTTTCTCTTTCATCACCCACCAACACACACATGGCACTCTAGCTGCCCTCCAACTGTAATTTAGCTAATCCATACATTTGGCCCCACCTTTGGCCACTAGCTCAATCCTCTAGCTTTTCTCTTGCACTGTGTTCCTCCACTCTCACCGTTGACAAACCAGTAACGCCGCATTTTGAGTTTTGGATATACATGTTTTGGATTTGAGATTTAAATTTATATTTGTTTGTTTGTGGCAATTGTCCTGCATTTTTGTGAATTTGAAATTTTACAAGATTGTATTTGAGATTTTGTTTGACCGAGAATTTGAGATTTTCTAATTAATTTGCTCTATATCATTGTTACGTTATTAAAAAAAATTAGTTAATTGGGTTGTGAAAGAAAGTGTTTTTGGTCAATATCACTGAGATTGAGATTCACTTTTCAAAAAAGTATGCTTTCATAGTTGTGAAGGCTACTCGAATAACCTTATGTGCTTGGGAAGGACTCGGTTTCTGTTATCACCCAAAAGAAAGTTCTAGTTTGTTCACAAAATTTGGCAAATTTTGGATGATTTATAAGCTCTTATGATTTTGGTGTAAGCCATCATAGAGTTTTGCTGTCTACATTATATTAGAGTTTGTTTACGAATAATAGCCTATTTGTAGAATTGTCTGGTGTTGTGTTTTGGGTGTTTTGAATCCCATGTTTTGTGCATATCAATTGGGCATAATATTTATTTTTTACGCTTTATCATTGAGTGATTATTTGCAATTGATGACTTAGGCTTCTTAAATGTTGTTGTGTCGTGTGTGTTGACTGTTAATGCTTGCAGTGTGCGTAGTTTTTCAATTAGTCTAATGTTTAGGGGTTGGGTTTTGTGATTATTGTTGAGGTTGACTATTTTTGTTATGGTTTTTATTGGTTTTTGGCTTTTGCTTAGTTTAATGTAATTTGTATTGTTGTTTGTGCTCACTAAGGTTTGTTGTAAGTGCTTTGTCTGATGCATTGCTGTGTCTTATGGGCCACTAATCGTACTATTCCTTATGGTTTCTTTGTGGTGGTGAAGGTGTTATGAGGGGAAGTGTGATTAGTTACAGAGTTCCAGCTAGAAGTTGGTAGCCTTTAGTTCCGAATTAGTTTCTTTAGTGCATAATTGGTGGTTTGGTCATCTGAACTATGTAATTTGGGTGGAGTGTTGAAGTATTAGTAATGGGATTCTTTGGTATATGCTTAATTGCACAAGGCATGTCAGTGTATTGGAATTTTACTTTCTGTTGATTTGATTTTTTCACTGGAAAATTTGGCAAAAATTGCATGACATCGGAATGATTTCAATATTTTTTATGGAGACAATATTAACTCCAATTGCAATGATGGCCAATTGGTAAATATGATGAAATAGCAATGTATTGAAATCAACTTGTTATCTTATATTTTTTTTACAAATTCTTTTATTGTCTTTTAATTGGAAATCACCAAACAAACACAAAAAATGCATGGCTATTCATTACGTTCACCCTAAACAGTCTTAAGAATTTTTCTTCTGGTATTTTGCCCTAACATTAAAAAGTGTTAAAACTCAAAATAGGTTTGGAAGCAGCCGAGTATGACTAGGTTCATCTGGATCCAACTTTAAACCACCCAAAGAACAACAAATCATGCATGGGTTTTGGTTTTTTTCACCCCCAAACAATCTAACTGTATTCTAGTATCCTTTACAAAACAAAAAATATAAAATTCTCAAAAGGGATAAAGGGATAAAGGGCGAACCTGAATTTTTTGGGCTGCTGGATTTGGTCATATGTATCATGTGAATTGGGTATTCATTTGATTTAGGCTCGATTTGGCAACAATAAAACTGATACCCGTATGGATTCACATTGATTTATGCTTAAATTATGAATCTAACCGTGCATTGTACGACTTTCACAAACATGAGATAGTTCTATGGGGGCACATCCGTATTTGCACCTATCTCAACAAATCAATTGAAATATACATGTTACATCAAGGTGAAAATAAATTCGAAAAAATAACACAACAGTAATGACCGACTCAGACAAGAATCTTTGGGTAGATACATGACCCGAATATGAGATAAAATTTGAGGGACAACAACTAATGAACTTACATCGACATGCTGTAACCAATGCCCTACTCATCCCAATGGGAATAAGTATTTCCTCATGGATTCTAGGCAGGGCCTCTCAAAATGGTAAACCAAGTATAGGCATTTATAACTACTATGAAATCTTATAGGTAAATATTACCTTGTCAATCCAGCTAGTTTTGTGCGGAAATCATTGAAATCTTGAGAAGGGCCCTCGGCATTAATAAAAGGTTGTAGTTCCTTCTCCACGCACTGATGAAGCCTTTCTAAACCGGCCTCCGCATCACCTGCATATCAAGCAGGAATGAGGAATGCAACAGTAGCCAGAAAGGAACCCAAAAGACTCCTATGAATTTAGAAGAAATTGAGACGAAACAGCATACCTTGCAGGTACTCAAAAAATTGCCTCTTCGCATTTTCATTTTCAGGTAGGTAATATCCATATGAATAGGTCCATTTTAGCACTCGCCTACATTCAACTATCTGCAAACATATCAAAGGATCATGCGGTATATTATTGCCACATTTCATGCCCAAACTAAAAAATATATATTTTTCCTAAGAACAAAACAAAATTGTAAAATGACAGCTTGATTAAATGATTAGGCAAGATGTTCAAGGCTAAAAAGTAAAATTACTACATCCATGCAACTATAACATTTGCAGAGCAGAATTATCGAAGTAAGGGGACCCAATCATTTATTTGTTGTTCTACACTAGCAATGATTGTACAACACCACACATGCAATCTCGTCCTACACCTAAAGGGTATTTAAAACTCCCTACTTATTCCAGTTAAACAGAATAAGTGAAACAGAAGCAACACCAGCTTTAGCTGAAAATTGCAGAAGCAGTACAAAACTGACAAATTTAAAAACAAGTAAGCTCTTGGTGAATAGAAATCAAATTCAAGAAATATATATAACCGTAAATCTTTAAATTTTGCGGCAAAATAATATTGTAAATGATTGAATACAAGATTCTAACTTGTTCGAGAGCAAAGTACTTCAATTTTTGGTTTAGAATTTCTAAAATAACTACCTAACCTCCCTTCGTCAGAGCAGCCCAAATATATTACCATCTCTTAAAGATCAATTACAAAGTATTGAGTTGCACAAATTTTGCTTTTCAGATCACCTGCCTAAAACATTTCCAATATATTTCTGGGTGTCTACATTAATGTCGTCATGTGTTGGAAATGACATGCATTATAAATTCATTAACTTATTCGAGAAAGCTCGAAAACTCCCCAGTCGGGAGCCAGGAGGCGGTGTGGGATACTTTGGGTGCATATTTACAATCACCACTTATGGATATACCGACAAATATACTTAGACTACTATGGTTATTGTATTCCTATACATCCCAAAAAAATATATATTTATCACCTGAAATTCAGCATCAATGGATCATCCAGGTGATCTGAAATCTAAGAAAAAAATTAATTAAGTTCAATTGCTTGAGCATCTAGAGTCCATTTGACTGATATAGTTTAGTATGCTCTAAAAATACCCTCCCTTCTAGGCACATATTGAAAGTGCAATCATTAGATTTTCCTCCAATCTATACTCGGATCAAGAGTGCTCTAGGCCCAAGTTAGAGGGCATTTGATTGGTGCCCCATCAATTAATGAAGGCAGAGTGGGTTGAATGGAAAGACCTTTTGAGGTGGATGAAGTTAGGATAGTGGTGTTTGAGTGTAACAAAGACAAAGCTCCTGAGCCGGATGGCTTTATTTTAAGAATGTTGTGATGTTGTTAAAGATAATTTGAAAAAAGAGTGTGATGAATTTTTTTTGTAAGGGATGGTTAATGCAATTACAAATGCTACATTCGTATGCTTAATCCAGAAAAAAAAAAAAAAAAAAAAAAAAAAAAAAA